TAAGGCGAATAAGACGTATTACGTAAGGCGTATAACGTAAGGCGAATAACGTAAGGCGAATAACGTAAGGCGAATAACGTAAGGCGTGTAACGTAAGGCGAATAACGTAAGGCGAATAACGTAAGGCGTATAACGTAAGGCGAATAACGTGAGCGAGCATTCTGCAGTCAATAAAACTTTTGAGTTCGGTTTTTTATCTGATATTTATAAGCACACAACATAATGTAATTGCTGCCAAATGTTTTTTAACAGACCTTGCAATAAGAGAATAGAAATTTTGCAAATGAAAAATTTTAATTTAAAACAAAAAGAAAACATGTCGAAATTTATTAATAGTAAATGAAATGTGCGATACTAAATTGAATAATTATAAATTATATGTATGCATGCCAGCAAAAGTTAAGTAAACTTATGGAAAATTAAAACAACAAGTTTATGATAAAAAGTCAATCAAATTTCTAAAAAATAATTATGGAAATAAAATCAGAGAATGTAAAAATATGAAATAAAAATATAAGAATAAAGGAATATAAAAAAAAACAAAATAAAATAAAATGAAATGAAAAAAAAAAAAAAAACAACTTATTGAAAAATATTTATTAATAATTTACTATTTCTATATTTCAGTTGCAAAATATGCTGCCTTAATGGTAAAGTATATAATTATCTGAATATAAATATATACATTTGTTATATTATTTTTAAATATATATAAATTAGTATTTCACCTGTAAGTTATAACTAGAAAAAGAAAATGTATAAACTTAGAGAAAAATTCAAAAATATATATGTATATATAAATAAAATAAAAGAATTTGTTCGATATTTCTATCATGTAGGAAGCACACAATTGGAAAGGCAGATACACAAAATGAAAGCCGCAAAGCCCAAACACACGCACTCACACATGTGTACAGGTAGAGGTGTGTGCGTGTGTGTGTGTGTGTGTATGACATCGGCTAATTACAGGTAAGCAAAAATAAGAAAACAAAAACAACATTGGAGTTTATTTTGGTTGCTCCGCCAACTGACGTGAAAATGCGTTCACACTCGGGCGGCAGGCAGCCAAAAAACAACAAAAACAAAAAGCCGAAAAGAAAATTCAAAATCAAAGAATTTTCCACACAACTGAGCAATTAACACGCGCATAGCGCAGAGCAGAAAAAACTCACTCGACAGAGATTCACTCAAAAGGAAAATACTGCCGAAAATAAGCGCGTCGAGCAAAAGGCAAAAAGCACACTCAGGAAAAAAAAAATAAAGAAACGAGCAGAAAATTAGAAAATCGTCGAGCCGAGCGGCCAAAGCTGTTCGGATTCGTTGAAATAGACGAATCCACTAGCGACCCGCGACCAAATAAACGAAATACTCTTTATTCGAACGACAACGGGATCTCTTGTTCAGTAGATCACCAGCCTTACTCCGACGTTAATTACGAATTTATTCGGTGACTCGGTGACAACTACACAACTGCGTGCGGTGCTGTAGAGATTTTCATTTGAAGCAACCAGAAATCAATCCATTGAATTGAGAGAAGCGCGTAACGCATCCAAATCAAATATCTCGATTAACGCAATTTTGAAAAATCTGACATAAAATGTCGTCATCGCAAGCTGTACGCTCCTCGAAATACTCCTACCGGGCCACATCCACCGGACCCGGTGCGGCCGATGTGAACATCGAATACATTACCGACACGAGCTCGCTCTCCCGCTTGGAGGTAAGGATCGAGGCAACAAACCAGGAAGAAAACTACTAAAAAAACATATAACAAAAAATAAATAGAGAAAAAAAAAAGAAGAAAAATTCAAGTGTGCAATAAAACTAGCATCTCGAAAAGTTGAAAAGTATCTGTGACTGCAAAATCTATCCAAGATATGTACAAATGTGTATCTGAGTATGCATGTGTATGTATCTGTATCTGTGTGTGTGTGTGTGACTGTGCCGTGGAAAAATAAAATTCGTGCGAACAAAAATATCTAGATATACATACCTATATATACATATATATATGCGTCGGTGAAAATTATGTAACAAGCACCTCGAGATACACATTGAAAAATGCGATAAAAAAAAAATACACATATATACATATATATACGTAAATTTTGTGCGAAAAACTCTGCAAATTTGTGTGAAAATATGTCAAGAAAATTGCTGCAAAATATTGAAATTGAATATAAAAATTGAAGCTAAAACTGAATACAAAATATGAATTTTCTTGCAGGATAAGATCCGTTTGCTCCAAGATGATCTTGAAGTTGAACGTGAGCTGCGTCAAAGGGTAAGTGTTAATTACTAAGCTATAGTTGGTATAAGCTAAACATAAGCTAAGACAACAAAACCAACAACAACAACAACAACAACTGTCTATTGGTACTGCTCTCACCTGCTTTGGAAGGCGGCAAGTTGGAAATTCCTAACTGCGTCTAGCAAGCGCCATGCTAACGAAATTTCACTTTTGTCGCTCTGCGCAAATGTCACCCTAAAAACAGCAAAATATGTGGAAAAGCAAAAGGCAGAGAAAACAAGAGTAGAAAAAAAAGAGACGGCCAAATAGAAAAGCGGGCAAAAACAATAGAAACGAACCGCAAATTGTTGCACTTAGAGAGAGGCTAAGAATAAATTACCCTTCGAGAGTTTTGTGCGTCGAACCGAATGATAATGATGTGCATTGAACTTCAATCGCTGCTTGGCTCTATAACATTTGATAAATGGTTTTTATTTGCTTTTGCCTCGTTGCGTCTGTGTTTTGGCTGTCTTTGCAAAGGCAGAAAGAAGCAAGAAGCAAAAGCAAATGCAATTGCATTTTGATTTTTGCTTTTCACTTTTCACTCTTTTCTAACTTTTGCATTTTTGCATTTGCCGCGCGCACTTCATTCAGCTGCAGGCGACGCGTTCCTCTTGTTGTTGTTGTTGTTGTTGTTGTGGGGCACCTAGTCTGTTCCTGTTTGGGTCTTTACAAATTTAGAAAATGCGGCCCGGCCCGGCCTGGCAGAGGCGGGGCCAGAGACAGAGGCATGGCCAGGGCAAAAGTATTTGTAAATATCTCTCACTCACTCACTCTCCCTCTCTCTGTCTCTCTCTCTGTATGCATATATTTTGTGGAAATAATTTTAATTACTTTTGCTTTATGGATCAGCAAGCCTACACACACACACTCACACACACTTCAACACATACTCTCACTCACTCACACACTCACAATATGGAACAAAATGGCTAAAATTAGCGCACGACATTCAATACACAAGCAATGATTAACTTGAAGCAAAACAACAAAAATATGAACCACGGCAGCAACAACAACAACAACAGCAAAAAGAATAGAAAATAAAGTAGCCACAAAAACATGATAATCATGAGCAGCAATGCTCATTATGATGACGATGATGATGATCATCCTGCTCATCAGCAAAAGCAAAAGAAAATTCGCTGGCACAGCTGAACATTTTTCTATGTGGGCTGCCTTCATACATGTGTGAGTGTGTGTGTTTGTGTGTGTTGCCTTTAAATGTGTGGGAAAATTAAATAATTTTCTTGCACATTAAAAGTTTTCACAGCGCAGACAGAGTCTGCCACACACACATACACACAAATGTATCTATGCGGCAAATGTATCTACAAGATACATATGGCGCAAATGGATTTACGTTTGTACTTACGTGGCCTTTGGCCAGCCTTCTTTTTGTTATTATAATAAAAAAAAAACACCCCATTATACACACACTTTGCTTAAAGCAAACGAAACTATATAACTTTAGTTTTTACCTTAGCTGGAAGCACCTGGAAATTCTATTTGAGTTTCAGCTGAAAGCAACGAAAATTCTTTTCAAAAGTTTTTCGCCAAGGAAAGAAATGCGCTCATCCGCCCGTCCAGCTATACGAAATTGCATCTGACAGCACCCAATTTCGTTTTGCCCGAGAAAAGCACTGAAAATATATCAAATTCTTTTTAATTACCTAGAAGAAGCAGATGCAAACTATTCGCAAATTTGCAGATCTTAAATTGGGTCAGCGCAAAGGAACGGTTTTTGTTGTTCTTGTCTCTCAGTTTTGGAAATATATTTAGAGTTCGACTGAAAAGCGTCTAATAAAAATTCCTTAATGCAATTCTTATTTGGAAATGCAATGCATATATATATATATATATATATAGATATAGATAGGTATATATTTATATCCATATATCCATGTCTGCACTCAGTTATAGGTAGCTGCTCGCTTACCTATGGCGATCTTTTGGCATTTTGCCATTGTTATTTTGGGTGTTACATGCGCATAATTATTTCTGACTGATTAATTTGATTTATATATTTTATGGGCCGTTTGAATTAGCTGCAATGCATCATGGTCTATGCACTGCGTGTGGGATGGCTGCAAATGCCATCAGAAATAGATGCAAATTAAAATTATGAAAAAAAGCAGAGAGAGATAGACAGAGAGAGAGAGAAATAGAGAGAAAATTATGAAAAATTATGAAAGGTGTGTCTATAAATTACGTCCAAATCAATTACACAATAAGTCTAAAAAATAACGTAAATATATATTATTATATATATCTCTATAAATCTCTTACCCCTTTGCAGATCGAGCGCGAGAAAGCCGACCTCAGCGTTCAGGTCATACAGATGTCCGAACGTCTCGAGGAAGCTGAGGGTGGTGCTGAACATCAAGTGAGTTGAGCATATACATTGATATACTATAATAACTCTACTCTAGAGCACGTTTCGCCATTGCAGTTTGAAGCGAATCGCAAGCGCGATGCCGAGCTGTTGAAGCTGCGCAAGCTGCTTGAGGATGTTCATCTTGAATCGGAGGAGACCGCCACGCTTTTGAAGAAAAAGCACAACGAAATTATTACGGATTTCCAGGAACAAATTGAAATCCTAACGAAAAATAAGGCTAGGTAGGCAAACACACACAGATACACACACACACACACACACACAATCGCACATGCATATGCACTTCATCTTGAACGACCTCATTCTCTCATGCTTTGACCTTGTTTTGGCCATACATAAACATTGCATATACATACGTACATACATACATACATACATACATCTATCCATGTTTGATTGTTTATCGTTCTGATGCTGTGTTTGATGAAGTGCCATCAGCTGGCGCTGACTCTTCAATGTCTCTCACAATAGTAATATGTTAAATACCAAACAACAACAACAACAGCAACAACAATAAGAGCAACAGCAACCTTGCTTGCCCCGCTGACACCAAAACTGAAATCAGATCATAAACAATTCATCAAAATGCCATGACAAGCAGAAAAGCTGAAAAGCCGCAAAAGCCGCTACGGAAAATATTCCAACTTGCATCGCTTGCAAGTTCTATTGACACAAATTTCTCAGACGAATGTAAAATAAGCAAAAGCAAAAAAATATAGTCAAACACACAAACACACACACGCACATACACTGACAGAGAGAGAGAGATTTTTTGCTTGCTTTTGCTTTTGCTACTCATATTTCCAAATCAAATATCCAAAAATAAATTGCAAAGGAATTTTCGTATTTCAAAATCAAATCAAATTCAAGGCTGTCGCACGATCAAAGCCAATGCGGCGCACGCGGCGTATGCGTAATGTCAACCGCTTATTTATCCCTTCTGGCTAAGCCAGTTAGCCCTTATGGGCTTAGCTAAACAGTTCGTTGTGCTCAGGTAGACGAAAATTCGGAATATTCACATCAAATGTTGCTGGTGCTTCTTCTTCTTGTTCTTGTTCTTCTAGTAGTTGAGGTGCGCCCGAGTTTGCGCAGTTTTCGCCCATAGACAAAGCAGTTTTCTCGCTCGCTCGTCGCGAAGCTTAAAGGAAGCTTTTTTTGAGAACTGAACAAATTGAGAAATAAAAGAAAAGTTTTCAACGTTTTCCGCACGCACGCAACCATATGTTATTCCACAGCAACAACAACAACAACAGCCACTACAACAACTTAGAAGAGTAGCGCATATTTCGGCATTTATTTTTAGAAGAACAAAATTTTTAATTTTCATCTACATTCTTGAGCGTTAAGTAGAAGAGAGCCGCATTGCTCTTACCTCGTTGTCGTTGTTGTTGTTGTTATTGCTCTCTCATTTGCACCAACGCCCGATCCAAATATGTCTTTGATTGAATCATATTCAAAATGTGATGATTGTTGTTGTTGCTGTCTCTTTTCGTCCAATTGAATTTTATGGAAATTCGATACGTTTTTCGCTTTTGCAACTTGTAGCTGGTTCAATATGTATACATATGTATATATACATATTCAATATATGTATATATGTATATTGTTTTCTGCTAATTAATCTAATTACTTAAATTCCTCCTCCTCACAAGCGAAAAGTGAAAAATGTTTGGAATTTCTTCAGCTACTATAAAATCAAATTATTTTATTGAAATTAAAACTAGCTTGCTTCCAGGCACATGCACTTAACCTTAAACCTTTCCAGAGCTTTTGCAAGTCGATCGAAAAGCTTTCTGTACTTGTTGCCAGCAAAAGCTTTGGCTCCAGCCTGTGCTTTCGCCTGCCAACAACCGGCAAAACGGCCACAGATCGCTTTCATCGATCGGCTAGCAAAAGCTTTCTTTCTGTGAGCTTGGACCGATCTCTGCCTTAGCTTGCTCCTAGCAAAAGATTTTCAGCTTGGCTATGCGCTAAACGCAATCAATATCTACATATATACATAAATATAATGAAATCACAGCTTGGTCGATCACCAATGCCGATCTCACAAAACCATGCCTAAGTATTGACAGTATCAGTGAACTGAGCTTGTATTGAATACGAAAACAAACAAAAATTTGATCGAATGCTTACAGAGCCGAAAAGGACAAGGCCAAATTCCAGGCCGAAGTCTACGAGCTGCTCTCCCAAATCGAATCCTACAACAAGGAGAAAATCGTATCGGAGAAACATATCCAGAAATTGGAAGTCTCCATTACTGAGCTGAATGTGAAGATCGAGGAGCTGAATCGCACCGTCATCGATATCACTTCGCACAAATCTCGCCTCTCGCAGGAGAACATTGAGCTGATCAAGGACGTCCAAGATCTCAAAGTTCAATTGGACACAGTCTCGTTTTCCAAGAGCCAAGTCATCTCTCAGCTGGAAGATGCACGCCGCCGCCTGGAAGACGAAGACCGTCGTCGCTCAATGCTCGAATCTTCGCTGCATCAGGTTGAGATCGAATTGGATTCAACTCGTTCTCAACTCGAGGAAGAGTCTGAGGCGCGCATTGACTTGGAACGTCAGTTGGTCAAGGCCAATGCCGATGCCACTTCGTGGCAAAACAAATGGAATGCCGAAGTGGCAGCCCGTGCCGAAGAGGTTGAGGAGATTCGTCGCAAGTACCAAGTGCGCATCACCGAACTGGAGGAGCACATCGAAACCCTCATTGTCAAGGTCAACAATCTGGAGAAGACCAAGACCCGCCTCGCCAGCGAAGTGGAGGTGCTCATCATCGATCTGGAGAAGTCCAACAACAGCTGCCGCGAACTGCAGAAGGCCGTCAACACCCTCGAGAAGCACAATGTCGAACTGAAGAGCCGTCTAGATGAGACCATCGTACTGTACGAGACCAGCCAGCGCGATCTGAAGAACAAGCAAGCCGATCTGCAGCGCACCGTCCACGAACTGGACAAGGTCAAGGATGCCAACGGTCAGCTGGGCCGCGAGAACAAGAAGCTGGGCGGTAAGTGGAATAAAAGCAGATCTACTTGAAGTGCTCAGCCCATTGAACTTTTCCCCTTCCCTTCGCTAGATGATCTGCATGAGGCCAAGAGCGTCATTAACGAGCTGAACCGTCGTCTGCACGAACTGGAACTGGAGCTGCGTCGCTTGGAGAACGAGCGTGATGAGCTGACCTCTGCCTACAAGGAAGCCGAGGCTGTAAGTACTCGAGGAATTTTATCTTCCTACACCATATATTACTGATCCTCTCCATGTCCATCTACTCTATAGGGTCGCAAGGCTGAGGAGCAGCGCGGACAGCGTCTGGCCGCTGACTTCAACCAGTACCGTCACGACGCCGAGCGTCGTCTGTCCGAGAAGGACGAAGAGATTGAGGCTATTCGGTAAGTGTGCCAAGCAGCTATTAATTCACTGGGCTCGATCGTCTCGCCCCCTGGGGAAGTTGCCTCTGCGAACGACGCCGCTGGCACAAACCTTGCGGCTAGCTCTGCCAAAACGGAAGTGATTCGATTCAATGTGCAAGTCAATCGATTGATTTGCAATCGTCGGCTAGCCGTTGCCAACAATTGATATCAAATTGACCCATTTAGCCAGTCAGTACGAATTCAATAGTCGCGCCCAAAGCAACGGCATTAGTTTCTCGTCACAGACCGTTGCCTTAAGTCCTTAAGTCCTGTCCAGCCGCTTGAAGTCGAAGTTGGTTCGCATACGAAAAGCCAAACCGAATGAGGTACTCAAAGACCTCGCTTTCTTTAATCATAAAAAATCAAAGAAATTTTCAACAGAAAATTGCGCAGTTGTTGTGATTACATAATCGGAAGTACTTAGTGTCCGAGTGAGAGCTGCCAGTCCTAGGACTGGTCGAGTGCCAGCTAGGTAGGTGAGTCTGGACCTCCGTGCAGCATTCGTTGAGCTTGGCAGGTGTTTTGCGGGCTTTGACTGATCGCCCAACATGCGGCTATTGCGTAAAAAGTGTGTGACATTTTGTCATAGTCTATGCGCTGGCTGCCAAAATGGATCAATCATAGCCCGAGAAAAGAACACACAAAAAAAAAAAAAAAAAGAAATCATTGACTGCCAACGCCAGCGATGCTCATGATGATGTTTTGCACGTACATTGTCGTCATTATGTTGATACCTTTTTGCCGCAACAACAGCTGAACAAGAAATTGCAATCTTTTTATAGATTTCGACAAATTTGAAAATTTATTTGCGAGGCAGCAGAGCCGCAGCCGCAGCAGCAGCAGCAGCAGCAACTGTTGCCAAAACTGAGGAAGCCAAAAGCAGCAGCAGCAGCAGCAGCAGCAGCAGCAGCTACAAAGCGACAAAGCGACGGGCCATATTCCTTTACTATCTTTAATAAGAGATATTTATAGACTAAGAAGTAGCAGAGCAAACTCATCTATCATAAGCCCTACCTTCATAATCCATACTCCATAGTTGATTCTCCCATCCCACTCACTTTGATATAAGCGAAAATGTCGCTCGCCTTGAAGCAGCGTCCATCGCGCTTCCGTCATGGCACCACATACGATGATAATTATGGCTATACGATGAATTTCTATCAGCCAATGCTGGACTATTTGGACGCCAAGGCGAAAGGGCTGAAGGTGGAGCAGCCGCATCTGCCGTGGGTGAGCGAGCGGGGCCTCAAGCAGTATCGCTCCTCGAACGCCGTCCGGCAGTATAATGCCGATGAGATCGTGCGCCTATCGCGCACCTGCGCCGCGAGGGCTGATGAAATTCTGCTTAGCTTTCGGGCGCAGAAACGATCGCCGTTCAGTGTGCAGAAGCTCGTCGACGCAACGCGTGTGGCCAAGCACATTGAACCGGACACAGTCGTTGAGAGATCGCGCCAGCGTCGTCGTCGCCGTCAGGAAGAGCTCGAGGATTTAATCAAGCGCGATACGTTAAAGATATTGCAGCGCATACGTAAAATCGAGCTAGATAACGAATACGATAAAATGTCCGACGATTTCAAGCGTTCGATACGCGGCAAGTCCGCCAGTGCCATTGCCCAGGCGCTGCTCTCCGAATCGGAGCGCAATATCAAAACTGCCAAAAAGGAGGAGGAGGACTTTATAGCCCAAACTCTGGTTCGTTCAAGTCGTGCCGCGTCTCGTGCTCGTTCCACCTCACCGTTCGATGGTACCGCCGGCGGTTCGTTGCGTGCCCATGCCGTGCACATGGAGCTGATGGACGAGCGCCTGGTCGACAAGCTCGACCATCGTGTCTCCTCCTCGCTGCACAATGTCAAGCGTCAGCTGTCGACCCTCAATCAGCGCACCGTCGAGTTCTATGCGGATAGCAGGTGCGGTATAGAGGATAAGTGCTGGATCTGTCGCAAAGTGATGCGCACACATCCCAAGCTCAAGGACTATACCTATGTCTATTGGCAGCACTAAACTCGCAAGTCCCAAAGCCCCAAGCCCCAAATAGATCCCACATAAATCCCACTGAATAACATACGACCTGATCGAGTCTCTAGTCGAACCATACAAATCCTGCATCTCAGCATCTCATAGATTTCGCATCATTAATAAGTTTGCTACGAACGAATCTCGGGTGAATTTCAATTGAGATTCTGCCCCAGACAAATTTCTGAATAAATGCGAATATTTTCTTTTCATTTTTTACTTTTCATTTTGAACGTTTAGCTCAATTTTCTTCTTTAATTTGTTCTTTTTCTAATGCCCACACAAATCTTATGTCTATCTCTCTCTCTCACTCTCACTTGGGACGATGTTGTCTGGTTTTTGCAACAAAATTTATTTTCGTTTCTAGACGCTTCTTTTCGCTTATTTCCCTTGGCTTTTTGGCTTGAATTATTGTCTAATGTTTTCTGCGTTCGCCGATGATCAACTCTGGCATTGTGTCCATTGTTTCTTGCTCGTGTCGAAATTATTTTCTGCCACAAATTTTCGTCTTGGCTAATTGCAATGCAACGCTGACTATTTGGCTAATGCCATTTGCAGCTGACCATCATAATTGTCACAATCCGATGGGTAAATGGGAATTGAGAATTTTTTAATTTATGAACGATTGACTAAATATTGGATAATATGTTTTGGCAAAGAATTGCCATTGATAGAATTCATATGAAGAAGTAAGAAGAACTCTTAAGCTGATTAGATGGGAAATGAAAACTTAAACTAAACTCACTTATTCTATATACAAATCATACAAAACTTCATGATATAAACTGCTTTTTGTGCTACAAAATAATCCCATATTCATAGATTCTTAGGAGACTCCAATTTGAATGAATTTCATACATGATGTAAGCAGTTCAGCTAACAAATGACTATCATATGTTCCCCATTCGATTCATTTCAATTCAATTCACTTGGACAGTTGACATATGTAGTTTCCATCAGATTAGACGTTTGCCAACTGCTGGCTCTTTCAATTGGATTTCCAATCCCAAATGAAATTGTCTTGGCATCAACATGAAGACACAAGTGTTCTATATGTTCGTCTGCATTTCATATAGACACATTTAGTGCACTTTATAATTCACTTAGTGTAAGATCCATTAAACTATTCCCACCCGCACACACATAGTGAAATACCTTTCAGGTATTTCTGTTGGCTGCGTTTGGCAAAGTGTTTGGCCATTGTTTGACGTGTCCTTCACGAACAAATATCTCACTTTGTTTTTCTCGCACTGAAAATTGATGTGCATGACAGCAAAAAGCCAGAAAAAAAACTATATATATATAAATGAAAAGAAAAAAATTCATCACATATTTCTGCGTAGACAATAAACATTGCAAAATGAGGCAAACAAAAAAAATAAATAAAAAGAAGAAAGAAATGAAAAAGAATTAAAATTAAAATGAAAAAATACTTACGTTCGCAAGCGAAACTCAAGCTAAATACCTTGGCAAAGCGACAACAATGAGCACACATAGATTAAGTAACTAAGAAATGGGCTAGTACACAGCGAGAAAAATGAGCAGAGAATATAAATAAAGACAGCGAAATAAAGATGATGAACTATTGATGCGTAGCAAAGGTGGCAGGAGGTGGAATCACATGAAACACCAATGTTATGTATAAATGGGGTTTCATTTAAGAACTGTGGAGAGATACTATGGGAGATATAACAGTTAGAGCTTGGCTAGCAGCTGGCCAGATATGTAGCTGAAAATGTTCATACGAAACTTTGAATGGAGAGCTGTGAAGAGCTCGCCATAGAGTGAACATAATATCATGCTTGTTGCTTTGGTATGATAGGTATATTCATTAGGTATTCATTAGATAATATAATATTATAATATATAATTCATAGCTGCTGAATAAAATGTGTAAGAATATAGCTAATTAGTAAAGTGAGCTGAATATAGAAATAGTATAATATATAGAGGTTTAAATGCATATATTGATTCATAATTTATATGAAAATCAGCTATATGATTTATATATGAACTAAATAATTTATGATTCGGCAACTTTGACTTAACCCTTACAAATTCCAGAATTGGAAACATAAGAGCTAAAGTGAGAGCATATTGAGCATTTAAAAAGAGTCCTTAGAGACTTACAGAAGGTGAAGAGTAAAAATAGATTAAAATAGATAGTTTATATAGATATATTTAAACTAACATAGCCTTACTTACACAAGTCTTACGTTTTTAATTGAGCAACAGCTAAAGAGTAAGACTAAAATTTAGGTTTCAAAAACTACTAAAAGATGAACAACATACATAACTGCAGATCTAAGTTTTAATTCTTTCATTACACAATGTTTAAAGTAGTATAGAATTTGAAAAGAACAATATGTAGAATATGTACAGTATAGTATGATAATATGGAATCTATATAGTAACTCAGTTAAAAGAATTAACTAATGATCCAAAGTTCTTATTAGAGTAAAAGCAAGAGTTTTGGTTCAACTGAGAGTTATTCCATTTATATAGGTGAGCAGTTCATAGCAGCTCATAAATCATGTTTAAGCACTGTAGAAGTATAAACTAGAGTTTAATTCAGATGTACAATTGTTAGCCCAGTAAAAATAAGATCACTTCAGATCTACAGCCCTCACTTAATCTGCTCTACAGCTCTCAGTCGTCCACAAAACCCCGTTAGATGAATCAACAGTTTGATTACAATTAGTTGGCAGCCCTCAGCGACATAGCAAATGCATTCGCAAGCCGATTTTAAATAGATGTATGCATGTATATTTATATACATATGTGTGTATTAGGTTAGCATAAACCAAAGTAGAATTCACCTACGCCTAAAATTAGACGCATGATGCGAGTGGCGGATTCTGTGTGCCCCACGATGGGGCACTCAGGCAGCAATGCTAGGCATGTAAACGCGCTATTTGTGACAAGTTCGATGTCTTTATCAAGCGTATAAATAAATTTAAAAATTTTCGCCGAACAATGCGATTTTTGACAATGCCACAGAACAGCGGCCAGCGAGCTGTACGCTGAATGCTGAGTGCTGGGAAAAATGCAATTTTGTGGGTCAGAGCATTGGGGCCAAAAATAAAGCGCAGACTGAAGCAAGCGAATGAAAGCGACGTCGAGGTGACGGCTTTAAGCTAAACTTACGCGACTTTTGTGGGGGCAACTTCCAAGCAGAGACCAGCTAAATGAATGATATGTAACTCTATTGAGCGAATGTTCTATATGATTTCCTTAGCAAGCAGACCAGCATTGAGATCGAGCAGCTGAATGCTCGCGTCGTGGAGGCCGAGACCCGGCTGAAGACCGAGGTGACACGCATCAAGAAGAAGCTGCAGATCCAGATCACCGAGCTGGAGATGTCCCTGGATGTGGCCAACAAGACCAACATCGATCTGCAGAAGGTGATCAAGAAGCAGTCGCTGCAGCTGACCGAACTCCAGGCCCACTACGAAGATGTTCAGCGCCAGCTGCAGGCCACCCTCGATCAGTACGGCGTTGCCCAGCGTCGTCTGGCCGGCCTCAACGGTGAGCTGGAGGAGGTGCGCTCGCATCTGGATAGCGCCAACCGTGCCAAGCGCACCGTCGAGATCCAGTACGAGGAGGCCAACACACGCATCAACGAGCTGACCAGCGCCAACGTGAACCTGGTGTCGCTCAAGTCGAAGCTGGAACAGGAATTGAGCGTTGTTGCTTCCGACTACGAGGAGGTGTCCAAGGAGCTGCGCATCAGCGACGAGCGCTACCAGAAGATCCAGGTCGAGCTGAAGCATGTCGTCGAGCAGGTGCATGAGGAGCAGGAGCGCTGCGTCAAGCTGGAGACCATCAAGAAGTCTTTGGAAGTCGAAGTCAAGGTAGGCGCCAGAGTAGAGCTCTTAGATATTCTCTTACTATATACAATATATCGTTATCTTTCGCACAGAACTTGTCCATTCGCCTGGAGGAAGTTGAGCTGAACGCCGTTGCCGGTAGCAAGCGCATCATCAGCAAACTGGAGGCACGCATTCGTGATCTGGAGCTGGAGCTGGAGGAGGAGAAGCGCCGTCATGCCGAGACCATCAAGATCTTGCGCAAGAAGGAGCGCACCGTCAAGGAGGTGATGGTACAGTGCGAGGAGGACCAGAAGAACATCATCCTGCTGCAGGATGCCCTGGACAAGACCACTGCCAAGATCAACATCTACAGACGCCAGCTGTCCGAGCAGGAGGGCGTCTCCCAGCAGACGACCACCCGTGTCCGCCGTTTCCAGCGCGAACTGGAGGCTGCCGAGGATCGTGCCGATGTTGCCGAATCCAATTTGAATCTGATCCGCGCCAAGCACCGCACATTCGTCACCACTTCCACCGTGCCCGGCTCTCAGGTGTACATTCAGGAGACAACAAGAACGATCACCGAATAGATCAATCTCACTGATCCACACACTCAAACACGCACACAGCACACACACCCACACAAATACACACACACACACATTACACATTACAGAGACACACATAAACACAATCCCAGCAGAAACATTTTATAATTTATGAAAAAGGCAACAAGAACAGTCTTCAGTATGCGGAAAATGAAAATGTAGAAGAAGAAGAAGAAGATCTTGAGATTGAATTGAATATTTGCTTGAGAGAAACTTTTATAATTTAAATTTTTTTCAGAGCTTGCGAGAGTTCGTATAGGTTATACATTATAAATACATAACACTACACATCTCCTGTCTATTTTATAATAATAATAATATTTTGAAGTTCATGTAATTTAATTAAAATAATGAACCGAAAACCTAAAAAAAAACCAATAAAATTACAAATGGAAAACTACAGCGGTTTTGCAGCGAAAGAGAGAGAGAGAGAGAGAGAAAGAGAGAGAGAGAGTGTTTGCTTATAGAGTTTGGCTGAACTAAAACAAATCAATGATCGACCCCAAAAATATATAAAAATAAAATAAAAATAATTTCAAAACACTATAAAAACGAGTTACCCGAGTTACAACCGCTTCTACTTGTTTTTAGTTCATTTTATGTTTAGTAGGTAAATATCTGTGTGCTCGTAACGAATTCATTTTCAATGATTAAAACAAAAACGATTAAGAAAAACTGAGCAATTTTCATATTTTTACTTTGTATTTTGCAATAAAAACTGAATTTTACTTATATAATAATAACTAAAAAGAAAACTCAATTCATTCTAGATGAGTTTTTTACTAATTGGGGTATGTTAGAGAATCGGTAGCGATAAAGAAGTTGGTTTGAGAAACCAAATAGTATGTTTTGTTTCCAATCAGAAACGAGGTATATCAATTCCAATCAACCAAAATTTTTAATAATAATGTGAATAAGAATAGAAGTCTAGTTATGAGAAAGAAAACTAAGTTCAAAACAAACTTTTTTCTGTATAGAAACAAAGCAGAAAGAGTTCCCATAAACTTGAGCTCTACATAAGCTATTCAGCTCTAGTAAAAAGTAGATCTTTTAAAGAAATCTAGTATGACTTAGAGTTGAGTTGAGATCAAAATATTGTGCAAATTTCATTCATGTATCATTTCGTGATTAAAGCTTAGCTCAATGTTTTTATAAGAACATTTCGTTATCTCAGCTCGAATTATCGCAGACAGAAAGATTTTTAGATCTGTAGGGGAAACTTCCAGAAACAAACTTAGACTTGAAACTGTTTTAGCCCCATTTCCCTTCATAAACAAAGCACACACAAATGAAAACTGGTTTTTGTTTAAACTAATCACTATTTATTAAGACTTTCAACTGGTTGGGGACAAGTTGAGTGTCCAAACAAATTAGGCAGCAGAGACTGCCAGCTTGGAGCCAGTGTTCAGGATGACAGTCTTATCGCCGTAGAGACCGCCGTAGCTGCTCTTCTTGAAGACTGCAAAGAGAATAGGAAGAGAGATCTTTAGCGAGCACAGATGGATAGAGACTTCGCAGTGTTAACTAACCTGGATCGATCTCGGCAACGAAGGAACGTGGTGGCAGAGCAGCAGCGTAGAGCTTGTCCAGTGGGCCGTAGGGCTTGACCAGCAGAGGCTTGCCCTGCTCCCAGCCATAACGGTTCAGGGCATACCAGTCGGTGCCGTCCAATTTGGCGGAGGCGGCGGCGGCGCCAGCGGCATTGGTCAGAGCAGCGGCCTGAGCCTCGGCGGTATCGGAGGGCTTGACGTAGTCGGCATAGCTGCCATGGCTGTAGTCGTTGCTGCGGTAGGCCAGGTTGGGTCTGTGGGCCAAGCAGACGCTGATGCAGCAGGCCATCAGGCAGAGCAAACGCATTGAGCTGGCGGACATTTTGTTGGTTCGATGGTGCGAGGAAGCGACTGTATTCCAAACTAATTAACAATTGCGCATGGCCAAATTGCTTTTATAGCCATGTTATTTGTGTTCGCCAGCGATTTGTGTGTGCGCTTTACGTGACCAAATGCCCAGTCAGACCGACGACTCATGACGAAACTTTAGGGGGGCCGGCTAGCTAGCCCAGAGTAGTGGCTGCATCGCTGCACCCAAATCCCACTGCCGTGTGCCACAGATAAGGTGGCAGCGAGAGAGAAAGAGGCAGAGAAAGACAGAGAGAGAGAGAGAGAGATGCAGTCTTCGGGTTACAGTTTGGGGCAGTCGGTGTCAGTTTACGCTTGAAATTGCGCGCCAAAAGTAAATTCAACTCAACCACAACCACAACCACAACCACAGCCACGACTACGACAATGGCAATGACAATGGCAATGACGACAAGCCAAAGAGCAAGTAGCTCCCATTGATATCTAATTGGTTGCACCCCTCTGCTTGGCACGCTCGGCCCGCTTTTCGCGTGTGCGGTATCAGGTCTTTGACTTGGCTACCTGCTGCCGCAGCAGCATCTCCCATTGCTGCTCAATGAAGCAGCATCATATGGGCTCTGTGGATGCATTCGAGCGCGCATTCATCACCTCTGTGTCATGTGGCCGCATACGTAGTCAACAGCTCTAATGGCGCATTGATAGTCTGCACTTGGTATGCGCAAGACTCTGCTGCATTTGGACTCCAGCAAAGTCTAACCATGTCCATGGGTCTAGCTCTGGTTACCTATAATCTGGCTGCATGCAAAGCAGTTGAACTGATAAGCGAACTTGGCTTGGGATGAGTAGAGTAAGAGAGAGTGTGTGAGAAAAGGGGGATGAGTAATGAGAGGAAGAGTGAGAGAGGGAGAGGGAGAGAGTTCTATGTGTGTGTGATCCACACAACGAATGGCTTTTTGTGGCTCAACTTGAGCTGCCATGAAATATGAGAGCTTTAAGCTTGCTTTAATCAATGTACAGTGGGTACTCGTATGACAGCAACTGACACAGTTTATGGAGTTTGTGGTATGTAGTGCATGATGTCACACGTACCGAATGATATGAAGCTTAGAAACTTGTGTATGATGATCTAAATTTGGTTCTCAATGAGAAGAAAAATATTTGATTGATATTTGATAGATATTGGTATATTTTCATTAGAATTATTATATTTCCCGGATTAAACATTTGAGTGCCAAACCTGTATATAATAAGAACCGAATATACTCGGTTTGCTTTGTGAATGAGTACAAAATGATTTGTTTTCTAGCTAGAATATATGCACTCTGACTTAACTTACGGTAGGACAGTATAACATCTACAATATATGTAGTATAGTATAGCATAGTAATAGTAATATATATAGTATAGTAATATATATAGTATAGTATAGTATATATTACAGTATTTTGTATCGGTGTCGAATACTATACTATAGTGCACATACACTACTTAATAGAGTACTACATGAGAGACTTAATATTAATACCAAACAAGTAAACCTACTCCATGAACAAATTACTTTGTTATACAATAAAGTTCCCAACAAAACTCTGCAACTTATTGATTATTCTGCCAAAAACAATAATAATAATAATAATAATAATAATAAATAAATACACAATATATATGATTCTTCTTCTGTCAAAGCAACGATTGGCTTTCTACGTTGGCATAGGCATTAAGCACGCACGGCATTCCCGGCCGTCGTTTTGGCTACAATCAAAGCCAAGCTTCAAGTCAAGAACAGCAGCAGCTGCAGCTGCCAAACATTGGCGGCGACCGGAACCACTTATCAGGCACACTCATACACACACACACTGAGACTCAGACAACCCACTCAAGGCCACACACTTCAGTATGACCGTATTATCAGTAAAAACATTTTTCTGGTTTTCTGTTTGGCACAATTTTATTTAGCGCTTTTGGCACTACGAACTCAACCAGCTTTGAGATTCGAACGGATGTTGAGGGAAGAGTTCTCGGATGGGAGGATCAAGCTCTTAGTACTTGAGTCCCTCGTTGTAGCTGCCGTAGTTGTTCTCGGGCAAGTACAGCTTGGCAACTGGGGGAGCGGCGCGCACGGGCAGGATCACCTTCGAGTACTCGACGGGCGAGACGATGCGGCGGTAGTGGTTGCGGCCGGGGTACAGCAGAGTGGCGCCAGCGGGCTCCACGGAGTAGCGCGGCTGGTTGTAGCCGCGGTTGTGGTGGCCGCTGGACCAGCCGCCCAGACCAGCCAGACCACCCAGACCGCCCAAACCGCCCAGGCCGAGACCGCCAATGTTTCCGATCTTGCCGTGTCCACGGCCGTGTCCGCTGATGCCGCCATGGCCATAGCCGGAGTCGATCAGGATGGGGCGCAGTTGCTCGCTGGCGCCATAGCGGGGACCGGCAATGATCTCAACGGGACTGTCATTGCCACCGGCAGCAGCGGCGCTGGATGCGGCCGCGGCGCCACCCTCCGAGCGTTGAGCGTAGTTGGAGATTTTGCGGAGTCCGCCGTAGACGGGGCCGCTGCCATAGCTGGGGCCGCTGCCGTAGCTGCAGGTGCCGACGGCCAAGGCGCAGATGAATACCGCAAGGGTCTGTGAGATGAAGATGCAACGGGTCAGAAATGGTTGCCCATGGGTAACGGGAACGGGAGCGGGAAGTGATCTTCGTCATGGTACTTACGGCGAACTTGTTCATGGCTGTACTTTCGTGTTGTATTTGGGGGGCGCTCGCTGCTCGAAACAGTTGGCACAATTAACAAACCAAATGCCAAGCACACTTCTTTATATAAGCAAAAGAATTGAAGCACTCGAAACGTGATCTCGCTGCGAATTTATCACGCCGCTGGCTGCAGCTCGCCCCAGCCCAGCTCAGCTTGGCTCAGCTCAGCTCAGCTTGGCTTGGCTCAGCTCAGCTTGGCTCAGCTCAGCTCAGGTTCAACGGCGTCGTCTCGCATCTCGTCAGCGTTGAGGGCGGCTCAGTCCAGCAAGCGGCAGCCGCTGCTTGTCCAAATCGTGGCTCGATATCGCCACTCGAGCAGCTTCACACTTGAAGCTGCTGCTGGCGCTGATATCGCCCGCATTTGAATGCTGCAGCCGCCCACAATGTGGGGTGGATGCTGCTCACACTTTAGGGTGGCTCAAAACGCACAGCTTCGTAGTTTCGT